TAATAGCTGGTTTTTAATGATCTACAAATGAGCATTATGATTTTTTAAAATCTTAGATAAAAATGAAATATAAAGTATTTTTTCAATTCCAGAAAATATTTAAAAGTAATTAAAAACTAACATGTTTTGGAAAGATTTTGAATTGCTTTCGGACTCTCCTTCTATTTTATGACAATAAACATTACTTATATTAATCATTATTAATATGCATAGAAAAGATAGTATCAAGTATTACACAAATGCTTGTATAATTATGGTAATTATTATTATGGAAGAGGATTTGATATACCTAAAACAATTTTTCAAAGCAAGACAAACAAGACGATTCCTCATTTAAGTATAAAGTAATCATAATAATTGCACCATTAACTAAATTAGTCCCAAAAAATAAGGTTTGAAAGAAGATACAGTATTCAAGAGAACAAAGATAGAATTTTCTGGATGTTTATCCGAGAGAAGTACATTTTAGATGTCTATTTTTGCAGGCCATATATCATAAGATATGCTCTCCAATGATATGACAATGCAATAGGCATTATTCAATCCTGATGTTGCTGCTCGCTAAGAAAAAAAAGTATCCCTTTGCAGGAGAATTATGAAACCCCATGATTTTTAATGCCATTTGATTTCCACAGTTACCCAACATTTTTTCTTCCTCAAATGCAATCAACCCATGTATGTTGTAAATGGAAAGAACTTGAACGTCCCATTTTTCCAAAGAAATGGATTTATGTGTTGTAACTCTTTCCATAAATTGACTCTGGTGCATTAGGGAGTATGCTGCCCTCATTGTTTTTGACAAGAGACTACATTTTCCATGTTCTATAAAGAAGTTAAACCAAGGGATGTAGATGAAGGAGATTCAACACCTCTATAGAATATCAGATCATTTAGGCCAATTGATGTATTCATGACATAAACAGAATCAATGTTTTTCTCTTGTTCAGTTTTGCTTAGCAACTTGAACAATTCCTAATAGTAACAGGTATAGATTAATCTATCCAACACCATTTCATTCTCTCTATCTAACAAGGGGGGCGGGGATGTTGTTAAGCAAAGAATCAGCCATATTAGATCCAACACAACAAAGAACCTTGTATGTATAGGTTTCTTTAGATATATGTATCTTCACTGCCATGAAAGGGAGCTCTAGCTCCCCCTCCCCATCTTTCTTCATCTATATAGAGATGATAGTCTCTTGGTATTCATTTCATACGCCAATATCTGGAAGCGAGGTTATCTCATGATTCTCATCTTTGGGCCAACATTTCCCTCGGGTAAGCATCCTAATCTGACGATAGAAATCCCCTTCGAAGGTGTCGAAGAGTGTTGTCATTAGGCTACCAATTCACAGCTGAGCCCGATCTCCCTTTGGCCCAATTATCAGACCCAGCTCATATTATTTTTGTTATTGTATCATGAATACATATTTACATTGCTTGCATTTCCCTCCCTCGATCAAGAGTCGATGAGAGAGGATGATTTTGCAGAAATGGACAGACCTGTATCACGTTGCGATCAGTGTCCGTTGACACCAGCTGAGAATTGGAGCAGACAAGGCCCAAGATCAACTTCCTGTTGCTCAAATTAGATTAATGTTAGGCTTCTGAGCTACGCAGGTTCACCTCTCATCTTGAACTTGGGTCAATTTTTTTTCTTTTTGTTGTATTTGTAGATAATGTTGGGTGTGGAGGTTAGGGGGTAAGAGATAGAGAGAAGGAGAGAGATATATAGAGGGAAGAGAGATGGGGAGGTAGGGAGAGAGAGAGAGAGAGAGAGAGACAGACAGACAGACAGACAGACAGACAGAAAGACGGACAGACAGACAGAGGGGGAGGGAGGGGAGAGAGGGTGTGCAGTGAGCTAGATGAGATCATGAGAGAAAGATGGGAAGAGAAGGGAGGGGAAAAAAGAAGTAAGGGAGAAAGAGATAGAGAGAGGAGGAGGAGAAGAGAAAGAAGGCGGGAGGGGTACATAGGTGGGTTTACACTAGTCCTCTCCTCTGGGTTTTCGGAGGATGAGATAACTGGGGCAAAGGGTTGGGCCCTACGTCATGAGATTTCTTGTGAGGGCTGTCACACCAGTATTCACCTTAAAGCTGTGTCTCTGAAACAGGAAAGGTGAGATTCAGAAGGTTACCTGGAGGGGACAAGATAGGAATGGGAGTGGAGAGGGGTAAATACCAGATGGAGAGGGGTAGAAAAGAGTGTGGAGTTGAAAGAGATAGATACCCTATGGGGAGTAGATCTCAGGTGGAGATTGGAGAGGTGAGGGGTAGAAAAGTGCATGTAGTAGAAAGAGATAGATAGTGTAGATACCCTATGAGGAGTAGATTTCAGATGGGGAGTGGAGAGGGGTAGAAAAGTGTATTGAGTTGTAATTGATATTGATAGTGGTGGGTATTCTACCTGACATCTAAGAAAGCAATAAATGCTTGTTAGTAAACAAACAGCGGACTGGCGGCTTTAGGTCCTCTCTGAGGGACCTGGCAATGAAGATTAATGCCTTACCAAAGGGCCCTAGCGCATCGACTTGTTTTCGAACCAGGGTCACGGGATTACGAGACCACTACTCTAGCGACTGAGCTATCGCGCCTTCTCATCTGGTAATGAAAGAGATAGATATCCTATGAGGAGTAGATCTCAGGTGGGGAGTGGAGAGGGGTGAATACCAGATGGAGAACGGAGTCTTGAGGGGGTAGGAAAGTGTAGGGAGTAATTGTAATGAAAGAGATATATACCTTTTTAGAAAGGAGGAGAAGTAATCCAGATATGAAATACAGTTGTACCAGATTGGGAGGGAAAAGGTTTAGACATCTTTTTTTTTTATGGGAGAGAGTTGTTGAGAATAGATGTGTGGTATTTCAAAATCAAAAAGTACTCAACAAGTTAATGTGGATGTGATTCCCCCCCAATCCTCTGTCTCTCTCCATCTTTTTTTCCATCTCTCTCATTCTTGATCTCTCCATCTCTCTGTGTCTCTCTCCCTCTTTGCCTCTCTCCCTCTCTGTCTCTGCCTCTCTTTCCCTTACTCAATTGCTCTTTCTTTTCTTTTAGCTTACTTTTCTCACAATACCCCATTTAAAGTTTCTTTTCCTGTACCTTGTTATGGTATATTGTCGGCCTTATGCCAAAAGGGCCTTAACCCGATTTTGGGGGTTATTGAGTTATTAACATCACCTTGTAGATTTCATCATTCTCTTTAAAATGATGTGCTTTACTTGTTGAAATTCGATTTATTTATGAAGATAATTATGAATTTCAAAAGGGCCTTAACGCGTATCTCATCTTTTTCCTTACGCCAAAAGGGCCTTAACCTACACGGATGATCCATTTGCGTTAGGAGGGCCTTTCTGGCAAACCAAAGGTGTTGCGAAACAAGAAAATTTCCTTATGCCAAAAGGGCGCTAACTATGCGCATAGTTACGCGTACGATAATGGCAGGTTAAGGCCCTTTTGGCATAACGCCGCGTAGGTTACGCCCCTTTTGGCATAATGCCGAGTACATGTAGGTTACGGCCCTTCTGGCATAAATACGCTACATTCAAGCCTTATGCCAAAAAGGCCCTAACATGTTTTTTGCACATAGCATGTACATTTCTGAATATTTTATAACAAATTTAACACATTTCATGTAAAACTTAATAACTTAACACATTTATCGAAATTGGCTTCAAAAGCAAAAAAACGACCACAAAATTTTGATTATTAGAGAGGCCAAAACCTTTAAACGCGATTATCTCGGAATGGCCAAAAGCAGTTAAGGCCCTTTTGACATAAGGCCGACGATATTTCTTTCTTCTCTGTTATACCTTTGTGTTTCTTTAATTCCTCACACCTCTTCCATCCCTTTCTGTCCTTTACTTCAATTCTCTTCTTCTTTCTCTTCTTCATTCTCTTTCCTATTATTTTACCCTTTCACTCCTACCCTGACAGGTTTTAGCTTTGCCATGATATTCAATGATACTCTCAATCAGTTTTGGAATAGCTCCCTCTCATCTTGATATGAAGTCAATTTGTGTAATTGTTGAGTTCACTACTCTCTATCCAGACTTGCACCGAACTTGACTCAAATTAATTTCTTACTTCTTTTTTTTAAATCCACTTTTATCCTTGTTGAGATGTAGCCTTTAGTAGTTCATTCATCAAAGTATTACTCTCACCACACTCAAAAAGAAACATGCATGACAAGTGCCAGTTCTTTTATTTTCTTCTTTTGTCTATTTTGAGAGAAGTGTTAAACAATAGTTCTTTTTTTAATTGTTTAATCTTCATGTAGAAGGTGATCTGTGAGCCGTTTGAATTATTTGAAAAAATACAGGCTTCACAGCAACAATATTTACTCTTTTGAGTTATGCATCCTATACAATATTACAATTAAAGGCTGTTTAAATCACATAGAAAATCGTAACTAGGATACGTTCTAGAGACGCGCTTTGGAAACAGATAAGAGCAACCAACCCTTAATCAAAGTTACAGTGGATGGTATCAGATTGCCAAATTTGCCATACAGTAATAAGTGTAATATTTGACAACCAACACTCCACCAAGAAAACAGTGAACATGACAGTTTGAGTGTGAATGGGCTTTAAAAAATGTAGTTCATCACTTGAGTTCAATTTTGAAGTGTACAATATATCTAGCATATTTATACTGAATCTTTTTTAATGGAAAACACATTTGAAAGTTTCATGAAGGGATTATCATATGACAAAGGGATTTTGCCTATTTTTAGAACCTAGACTGTTTCTATGTTCCGTTTTGGCAATCCTGCAAAAAAGACATGAATTTGCTGTTATTATTTTATAGTTATCTTTTGTATTTTCCAGAAACAATTATTCACAGGATGTTTGTTCTCTCTGCATAGATGTAGATGTATGTTAGCTGTAACAACTTTGCATCATGTCATTTTGATATAAAAATCACACTTTCCATTCATGTAAAATATTAAAATGCAAAAATAGGATACAGAGCCAAACTTCGCCCATGACAAGAGTCTAACTATGGTCCATCCACTGCATAATTGGATAAGGAAACTCTTCTTCTTGTTGGGGACTGTTTCAGTATCTTCTTGAGAGCAGCAGAGGGCAAGGGAATGGCAGAATATCTACAGTACACCATGCAGCGGAACACGACTCTGAAGTGCGGATGTTTGGCGGCATAGAGGATTGGATTGATGGCAGACGGGAGGAGAAAAAGCATGGCAATGTAGATCCCTGCAACGCGTTTGGTCGGGACTAAAAGAATACAGGTGTAAGGAAGAACACAGGCGAAGAAGACCGCCATGACCCAGCCCAGGTTCTTTGTGATTTGGATCTGTCGCTTGTTGATTCCTGCTGTACTTCTCTGGTTGATGTTGCCAGGATGATGTCCATTGCCTGGGCGGTTGACACTGGGGATGTTCATCTGCAGTGTGGCATAGGACTTCTTGATGTGCTTGCGGATGAAGTGATAGATGGCAGAGTAGCTGAAGATGATGAACACGGTCGATACAATGAATGCTATGGCACCCATTGCCTGCATGACGATGGCTGAATTGCGTTTGGTGTCCCACAAGCAGACCTTGAACTTTTTGCTGTATCCCAAGCACCCTATGCCTGGGATCAACTGCGGCACCACCAGGCATAGAATTGGAAAGAGCCACGTGCCTGCGATCATCACCCCGACCTTACAATGTGTGTAGATTCTAGAGTACACTTCCTTTGGTCTGACAATAAGGACATAGCGGTTGACTCCTATCAGAGCCAGCGTGATGACACTTCCTGACTGCGTAACTATCGCCATGGCTGCGATGATGGTACATATGGCAGGAGGGAGTGGCCACTCGTCGGTAGCCGTGATGCCAACGGCCTGGAAGGGCAATCCGAAGCAAGTCAAGAAATCAAACACGCTCAAGTTGACCACAAAAACGTTAGTGAATGTGTGAAGTTTCTTTGAAAGCGCTACGGCGACGAACACAAATATATTACCCAGCATTCCAATGATGGCTATGATGATGTAGAGCACAGAGATAATGGTGATGTGCTTCTCATTGCCTTCAAAGACAGATACGACTCCCGCTGTCACGACAGTGTTTGCAGGAAATGTAGAGTTTTCAATGTCCAGTGATGCCATTGTTATGTTAGGTGTCATCCTTCTGAGAGAGTCTGGTGAAAATCCTGCCTGAAGAAAAGGGATGATAAAAAGGAAAGAGTAATTCATTATCCTGTTGGAAGTATGACAAGTTGGTAAATGATTACACCAACATAACATTGAAAAAAAGAAAAAAAATACCCTTGAACTTTGAAGTTTCTCACTCCCCCTGGCATAACTAAAAAATCCAACAGGCTCATTCTTATCAATGGGTTAACTACTACATAGTTTCTGTGATGTACTTTATATAGACTCTGCAAAATGAGGCTGAAATTGTATAGGTTTTCTTTATGGCTAAAAAAGTCGGTAGGAATAGTGAAAGAGTGATTTATCTATTGATACCTGACAAACAAGAAATCGAGACATCATATCTGAGGCAGGTATCAATTATGGCAATAACACCTACAGGTATTTCCGTTCGATTGGTATATCATTCACCCATTTCAATTTGATTAGTGTGAGTATTTAAATATTGGAGGATCTACTAGTTCATTAAAAGCTTTGAAACAGGTAAAATGAAATAAAGATAACTTAATTTTCATTAGTTGAAGCATCGAAATGTACTGGAACATTATGTCATTGTTGTCATGCCTGATTTGATGTACAGTACTTAGTTCAAGCCGGGAAGTTCTAGCTGTTTATTGAAACGTAATTCATCACTGAATATCTTTTCACTCATCGTGTCTTATTTGATTAGGGCCCAAGCCGACAACTTTCAGTGCTCCACAGTGTAAGAAAGAGGTCAATATGCCTATCTCCATTGTCAGGTTATAGCTTAGCTGGCCAGTGATGCGCTGTTTGCTGTCAAAATTTGTTGTAATTATATTTCAATTAAATACGGCCTCACAACTGATGGGGTTGCATGAACGGAAATTGCCATGTGTTTGATAGTTAAATCTATAGAGCACTACCTCAATCAAGCTATTATACATTTAAATATCAACCACTTTAGAATATCTACGGTATGTCACAAGTTAAGTCCCCCAAAATAGAATGGTATTGTGTTAGCTTCTTTTTTTTTAATGGAAATCATTTTTTCATTTACATTTTGTTCTCCATAGAATATGTATAATTGTGATTCTGATGAAATGAAATGATAGAAATGATGATTAGCTGCAAATGAACCAAGTATATCACTCAAACACAGTATTCAGGTAGCATTATCACTTTCAAGGCCAGATTTACTTCAAACTTAATTTTGACCTATTTCGTACATCCGGGTGGGCTGGAAGTTATGAGCTTGAGCCAAATCAAACACGTACAGCATGGCAATCAATATTGCAACAAGTTATCAATAACATTTCATGCTTATATCATTGACCCATTTCGTACACCATAGACAACTAAATGCTCCTGGTTCATAAACATTCCTCCAAAAAGATTCGCTTTGTGGTCTTGAATTTCCAAAAACCAAAATTGTCCAGATCTATGAGCTTTTAGATTTTTTTGGCCTGTATTTTTTTTTGGGTATAAATCCCCAAATCCCCATTTTCAAATGGGTTTTAAATGAAATGTGTTTTATATTTTTGTCTACACCTTTAACCTTGCTAGCATTTTTCCCTGTCTATTTTTAGAGATGCAATGCTATGATGTTTCCATTTAGGATGGCAGTGATTGGAAAAGTACAATAACCTGCAGTCAATCGTACATACAATATGGATGTTATGAGACGATAATTGAAAGTGATTATTAGAATTGAAATGAATCATTGTAGAACTATGACCTTGGTATTTCGTGAGGCTTTAGTACATTATCTGTTTGTAGCCTAGCCAGAAGGACGTTATCTCCTAGGCTGTAACACAGTTAGAATCGGATACTATATTGTATGTTCAGAGCCAGAAAGACTTTAACTCTGCATTAAGGTATATATGACTCTAGCTCAAACAAAAATCATAGTTAAAGGTAAAGACCAGTTATGGTCATGCGATTGCATTGTGAAAGAAACGTTGTGAAATAGATCAGAAAAGGTTGATCATCTAGCATCTAGCATCTGCAAGGTTCTGGAATCATCAAAATGATAAGAAATTTGGCCCATTCTTCGTAAAGTTACAAGCACTATACACAGAAAGATGTATATGGGACTACCCTTTATCTCTCACAGACCATGAGAGAAACAAATTTACCAAATATATGAATTAGTAGGCGGTTTCCCGGCAAATTTTTTATCATCGTGTATTAGTCAAAACATATTCTTTCACATGATTGGTAATGAGAGCTTCCATTTCATTTTTTTGAAATTAGGGCGTTTCCAATACTGGTCTTTACCTTTAAGTTCATTGCAGTGAAATAAGCTTTTTAACATCATCAGTAGCCCTGTTCTTATTGGTCTCTTGTAGAAAACTCAATTTCACTTTTTCTCATTATCTTTTCCCCTCTATGGTAACCACGTTTCAACGATTATGAAAAAAATGTATTGTTGAATACCACAGCATTCCACATACATGTACGTATGTATTCAATTCAATTCAATTCATTTATTTTCCACAATAATAAAAGTACAAAGATGTACATTACATATAACAGATATATACATGTATATACAATAACAACAACAAATACCAAAACAAAATGTGAACATTTACAGTAACATTGACAAAGAGGAAAATGAGCATAAGTGATTGATTGAAGTGTAATGATATAGAACATGTTATTATTGCGGAGGGAGCCAACTGGAAGACAGGAAAATAGTCTTAAGTGTGTTGGCACCCATCATGATCAATTAAATATAATCTTAATACATTAAATAACAATTGAATAATTGCGTTAAACAAAAAAAAAAGCAAAGTAAATTTGTATATAAAGAAAGAAAGGACGGGTTAAGAAGCTCTACTAACGTTGTAGTTGATTACGGTATGAATTTATCTAGTGTTTTTTTAGTTTGCGTTTGAAAGATTGGAGTGACACTGAGTTTTTTATTTCATTTGGTAAAGAACTCCACAGTTTTGGGCCGGTAAAAAATAGAGTAGATTTTGCATAGGATGTACGTATTTTGGGGAAATGAAAATCATTAGAAGACCGAGTTTGATAAGAGTGAATACTTGCATTTATAGGAAATAGATCAGTAATATAACGAGGGAATAAGCGATTTTTACATTTATACATGAACATACCAGTTTGTAGCTGACAAATATCGGATAGGCTTAATACATTGAGCTTATGAAATAGCGGAGCAGAATGAGAGTTATACAAGGATTTTGATATCAGGCGAATGGCTTTTTTTTGTAGTTTAAAGACTCTATCAGAATATGACTTAGGACAGCCACCCCAATTTATATTACAGTATGATATGTGGGGTAGGAAAAGGGCATTGTAAATAGTGAGAAGAATTTTTTCGGGTAATAAATTGCGCAGGTGATATAGGATACCAACAACTTGAGAAATTTTAGAACAAACATCTCCTAAATGATATTTCCAAGACATGGATTCATCTATATGAACACCTAAAAATTTGGTATGATTTGTATGTAATAGTTGGGATTTGTCCATATGGATTCTTATATCATCAATATTATAATTCATATTGCTAAAAACCATATAGTTAGTTTTAGACATATTTATAATTAACTTATTACATTTTAACCACTGATATACATTTTGTAATTCTTTATTAAACGTGGTATTAATAAGGGGAATATCTTTATGGGTAAAAAAAATACTTGTATCGTCGGCAAACTGTATAAAACTTAGGACATTTGATGAACACTGAATATCATTTATGTAAATTAGAAATAATAATGGGCCGAGGATAGAACCCTGTGGAACCCCGCAAACAACATTGAGCATATTTGAGTCTGTAGAATTAATTGTAACATATTGTTTTCTATTGCTAAGATAATTTTCAATCCATTTATGGGGAACACCTCGTATGCCAATATGATATAATTTTTGCATTAAAATATTATGGTCTATTATATCAAATGCTTTTGACATATCTAAAAATACACCGACTGTTGTTTTTTTAATTTCAATGGAATTTGTAATATCTTGAGTGAATTTTGTAATTGCTAATGATGTTGACAGACCCTCTCTAAATCCATATTGAGTGCTATTTAATAAGTTGTTGGAAGATAAAAAATTGGAAATTCTACTGAAAACACATTTTTCGATTATTTTTGAGAAAACAGTAAGTACAGAAATTGGTCTATAATTCGACATACATTCTTTTGACTCCGATTTAAAAACTGGTATAACTTTAGCTACTTTGAGATTATCTGGAACAAGACCTGTCGACATTGACATGTTAAAAATTTGACTCAATGGTTTACAAATATACGGTATTACTTTCTTAACTACTTTTACATCTATGTGGTCGAAACCAGAAGAAGTATCATTTTTGAATTTGTCAACAATGGATATAATTTCACTTTCAACAATCGGTTGAAAAAATATTGAAGAAGAACGAGGATTTGAAAGATATTTGGAGAAATGTTTATTACATGTATCATGGGGATCATCCAGTTTCTTTTGTAAATTGGGGCCTATCGAAATGAAATATTTATTAAATTCGTTAGCCATTTCCCTTGGGTGAGATATGTCATTATTGTCATTTACAATTTTGGAAGGGATATTTTTTTTAATTTTAGTTCTATTTAAAACCGTATTAATTTCTTTCCAAGTAGCCTTGGAATTCCCTGTAACGGCACAAAATTTAGATTGAAAATATTGTTGTTTTGTTTTTTGTATTGCCTTTGTGCATTTGTTACGGAATGACTTGTAAATTCTTTCATCAATTACTGCTCGGCGTGATATAAATTTTTTGTATAAAGTTTGTCTTTTTTTACACATTTTTTAAAGTTTTTTTTGTGAACCAAGCCTTGTTCTTTCAATTGTTCATATTTTTTTATTTTTTGAGAGGGAAACACTTGTCGTATATATCTAGAAAAATATCCACAAAGTCTTTGAACATGTCATTTACATTTGTCACACGAAGATTCCAGTCAAAATCCCTTAAATGTCTACAAAATATTGCAATATTATAATCA